TCCCAAGACCATTTGTTACCTTTTCAACAGTCTCAGTAAATGGATCTGCTCTCATACATCAAGTGGCAAAGTGAAACGTCAGAACAGCCTCAAGGTGAGGAATGATTGGGCAAGCTCTGAGCCCTGCAGCAGGAAAAGTGCTGCTTACTGAAATGAAAACACAGATTGCTGCATGAAGCTGCCTGTCAGAAGGTGAATGCTAATAAGAGAAATAGGAACTGCGGAATTATGGGTGTTGCATTCAAGATAAATATGTGTTACTTATTTCTACTTAAGTAAGGTTTTATTAACTTTCTGGTTTGGAAATTTCAACCCACTTCCCTCCAGCTCCCAATTCCCCCAGAAATAGTCTGAAAAAAAATGCTTTGATTGAATGAAAACACACAGAAACCTCAAGGAAGTATGTGCTAATCTCTAAAACGGTGAGGTTAGAATATTCTTTGGAGAAGGTAATTGGTTTTAAACATATTACAGAAGTGTCAGAATAAATAGAACAAAAAAGATCACTGAAGCCTCTCATTGTTGGGGAAGGGATTTTTTGTTTGTTTATTTTATAAGCATTTTTGCACCCTGCAATTTTGCATACTAATTTTGCATCTTCTTGCTGATGAAAATAGCGCTAAATAAACAAATTCAAGCACTTTATGGAATTTGCACTGAGAGACATTCAGGGTTATAGAAGTCTTGATTGCTCACAGAATAATTAACCAAGCCAGGTAGATAAAAATTTTCAGTTTTGCTGGTACAGAAGATTATAATTTAATGCGAATTTTGTGGACAGTTTATATGTGTTGTATATTTGTGTACATCAGGATGTATTTAAAAAATAGCTTTTTTATTTTGTTCACATTTCTTCTCTGTAGGATTGTATATCCTACTGTGCTCTGTAGGATATACAGGCTTTAGGGCTCAAAAACCACTTCCATAGTAAATATGCTGTGTTTGTTTAAAGGAATGGAGAAATCTGAAGCAGAAGAGAGATGAGAATTACCAAAAGGTGATGTGCTGCTTAGTGCACCGTTACTTGACTTCCATGAGACAGAAGATGCAGAGTACGGATCAGGCCACTGTGGAGAACCTCAATGAACTGCGGCAGGACTTGTCAAAGTTCCGCAACGAAATGAGAGACCTGCTCGGCTTCCGAACTTCCAAATATGCCATGTTTTATCCAAGAAACTAAGACCTAACCTTTAAACAAAAGGTGTGTGCTTTTAAAGACCCATAGGTGAAAGCGTTGACCTAATTCTGTTGCCAGATCATATAGGTAAGATCATTGCACAAAAATACATTTGAAAATGCATTTGTGTGAGTTGCAGATCAGTGACCAAGTGGTCAAAGAGAATGCAAAACAGATACACTAATTTTCTTAACCTCTTAATCTTGGTGTGTATATAAAATTTGTATATAGGAGTTTTTTAAATGTTTCTCAGACTGATTGTGGCTGTCAGGTGTTAGAGCTTCAGAACTAGCACAACGTGTTTCTTTCTTCTATTTTTGCCGTTTGTTCTTTTTTTGATACTTGTTTTTCCAGTTGTGGGAGAAGATAGGCTTTTTAAAATGAAAATCCAGCCTGTTTATTTTTAATAGAAAAGTCAGATAAAGAATAATAGAAAATTTCCAGCACAGTTGGAAATGATGTATGACTGTAGGTTACAGTGCTTGTGAAGACTGTATGGCTCTGAAAGAGGCAGTTCTAGTTTTGTATGATAACACTGACTGTAAACTAACATTTCTAGAATACAGCAAAGCAAATCATCAAGACTTTTCGCTTTTGTGGGAATATTGACATTTTGAACACAAAATAGACCAATCATTTCTTGAATGTTTGTGGTTATGTGTAAGACAATCACACCCTGCTTCGATTTTTCAGCAGTGCCTCAATAGTATATTTTAATATACATGTTAGGATTGGGAACAGAATTTAAAAACTAATCTGTGAACATTTAATGTTTAGTATCTTGGGTTTTTAAAATCTAGATAAATTATGTGAATTATTAAAACCTGTAATTTCATGAGAATGAGGTGAAGCACATGACTGCTATTGTTTGCAGTGCTGAACAATTCCTGTACACCATTCTACTCTTCTTTCTGTGAGGTCATTGAGTCTTGTCATTGGAGAGATGTACTTTAGAAGGGTCTGCTTGACACATATCTTACTTTTAAATTTGGTTTGCTTTTTTTCCTATTTTTTTACCAGGATTGTTGCCAAGCTAGACTTTTTTTTTTGTCAGGTAAAATGTGTTTTCCGAAAATAGTTTATCTGACTTTGCTTACAATGGACAGTAAGGGCTTTGTAGATTTTCTGTGCTAGAGGGTCCTATAATATGGCTTTATATGCTTATATATAATTCAAGCTGACAAACTGTAATTGAGAAATGTGAGATTCCTGTATTTTTAATTACAAAGTAAGTATATTTATGACAGCTAAAGGATTGATGGACAGTTTTGCTGTTATGGTGCTCCTCTGAAATGGTTGTGTGTCCAGAAGGCGCAGGTAGCCATTGTGGTCTTTGACTGCAGTTGATTTTGGGAGATTGACAGAGTGGGGGCTTACATGAATGTTTACTTTTTTGAAGGAATTCTTATAAAACTCTTTCTTGTAAAGGTAATATATTTTCCATACTATGAAATTATGTATTTCTGAGCTTCTGCTTTCAGAAGTGTTAGAGTATAGAGGGATTCTGACCTTTGTTGGCTTTTCATGGGAATAGGACGTTAACCTCCTAGTTCAAAGCAAAGAGGATCTCTGAGTTTTGTATTTGAACTGAGATCTCATGTTTGAATAATGCACCAACATAAAAACTATGTGCTGTGTATGTCATGTATATTCAAGAAAGTAAGCAAATAAAAGCTCTTTGAAAAATATGGTTGTATTAATATTTGTCATATTGCAAACACATTACATCAGTTACCACACTGAAAGTATTTTTTTGATCATGTTGAGGTAATAAGTTTAAGGAAGGTAGCTGGTGTCAGTGTGTTACTGCCTTTTTCCTTCTGGACCCATCCTGTTTGGTTCAGTGAAATGGCTTCATGCAGCACCATGAAGTGATGCTGGTTCCAGCCCAGCTGGGTTGGACCCTAGATGCACCAGCAGGTGTTTGGCACTGGGATGGTTAGTGCTGGGAACTGGGGGTGTTGACAGTGAACGAAGGAGCTAATGGAGCTATTTCTGAGTGCTTCTCATACATTGAGCAGAGTCCATCAGAGCTGGCTTGGTCAGTGTCTTTGGTGCTGTGTTCTACTACAGTGTAGATGGCCTTAGGAAGAACTGGGGCACTTCGGGGCTCTCAGGGGCTTTGGATTGGGAATTCAGGAGTTTTTACTTGTCACTGAAATACAAACCTGCAGAATGAGAGAGACAGAAAGATTGTTCTCTGCCATACCTCAGTTATATCACATTATACATCTCTGTTTTATTTGAAAAGTGCTGTGCTCTTCCAAGCTTTGTGGCTACTAATCGGTACCAAGTGCTCTGTACTGTATTTTTTCTCATAATTTATATTTTTCTAGTTCACCTGTGTTAAATATGCTATTGCTTTCTCATTTGACAGTTTAGTACAGGCTGTTCCAAGGTCTCCCTTATGCTCACTGACAGAATAGTTCTAGACAGGCACAGAAACAAAATTTTACATGTAAAAGAAAAATTGGGGAAACTGGAGTTAACTTGGCTATAGGATTCAGAGTTTCCTTGTACAAATTTTACTGCAAGTCTTGAAAGGACTAAGAGTTAGATAACTGGAAAAGGCTTTTTCTTCCCTTTCATATTAATGTTGGTTTTGTCATGGAGCTAGCTTTGCCTTGATAAATGAAAAATGGAGATGAAAATTTTCATGCGTGCATTTGGAGCAGGGAGGTCAAAATCAATAATGATTGAAAGCTTACTTTACACTCTTGGTGAACTATGGTCTTGTTATTTCTGTAGAAATAATTTCAGAAATTGTGATTAGATAATTTTGATTCTGTTTGGTTGCAAGTTGGATTTAAAATGTTTTAAGTTTACAGTTGCTACAAACTGGGTTTGAAAACTTGCAACAATTGTTACCTGTGTTGTATAACCAACTCTTACTTGAGAAAACTGGCGCTGCTCCATGTTCCTCTGTTCCCTGTTTCAGGCCTACTGCTACCAGAGCAATGACTGGGGAAAGGAACGGGTGTAAAGGGAGCATTGAGAAGAGCAGGCAGGAGCTCTCCCTACCTTCCATTTGGCAGATGATGAGTAAGCTGCCAGTCCTTTCTTGCCTCACTGAAAAAAGCTGCGTGACAGATGGCCATGTCATCATAAATAAAAATAGATTGTTGTAGTTCAAGACAGCTCAGAGCATGATTTCCACACTGCTTTTCCCCAGGCTGCTGCCAAGAAATGCAGAGAGCACTGTGCATAAAATCCCTTAGTCTGCATAGGAATTAATGCTGGAAAATTAAAAATCTGATTTATAAGTTTTAAAATTACAAAACTACATCTGCTTTGCAAACAAATGTTGCTGTTGGTTCCAGAGAGAAATGCTGTTTGGTTTGGTCAGTGGGGCAGTGCAATCTGTGAAGTGTGGCTGCAGCACTGAGCTGTTGGATGTGAGCTGCCAGCAGAGCCTCTTTGTACCTCTGTGCCCCCCTCTGATCCTTTTGTCCCCAGCCCAGCTAGCCATAAAGCCTTTGGAGGAGAGGCTGTGTGCTGCTGAGCTGCACACTGGGGCTCTGCATTACGTGTGAGAATCCATCAGTGAAGGGAATGGCAATCTGCATTCCCCTGCTGGAATAAGCAATGGGTACTTCAGTAGGGACTTTGATTGCATTGGTTTCCTGCCCACGGTCACAGATCATCCAAAGAACTCTACTCTGGTATTTATATACAAGGAAAACAAATAATTAAAGGGATCTTAGATTCTATATGCACCTTACCACAACTAAATTAATTCCTACCTTCCTCTACCTTATTACCTTACAGAACTTAATGGCAACATTTACTAAGCAGATGGTCATCAGTGGAAATAGTGCTGCTTTACAGCTGTCTAATTCTTTGAAGAGTTCCTGTTCTAATCAATGATTCAGTGACTTCCATGTAAGGAAAATCAGACCCTTAATCAGCAAGGAAGTGTAGTGTCAGTTACGATGTGCAAGGCCCAAACCATCAAAAGCATGTAAATGATCAAAAAACGGTTTCTGTATTTAGCTGCCTCACTTTATAAATAATTAATAACTAGTTGGTGGATGATTTAATCTTAAAATATTTTATTAAGCACTGATAATAATGCAGAAATCCATGTAATAAAACAACTTTAGAGAAAAAAGCTAAGTTGAACTGAGTTGCTATAAATATTGCACTTAGAATTCTTATTTTACGTACAAAACTCCTTAAAAAATTGGACAGTTATAAATTAACATCTTCCAAGTAATTGGAATTTTTCTTTGAGATCAGATGGCTGTGCTGCAAATCTTCGGCTTTCAGCCTTAGGAGGGTCTGTTCTCATCTGGTACATGGAATGGATTTCACTTTGTGCCAGCTGTGCTTATGTGGACAGGAGAGGAGGAAGGGTCAGCATGGTTGTACTGTTGGCAGTCACTTGTATTTCCATGACTTAGGCTAAGTTAAAATGATTGTTCAAGACAGATGATAGAACACTGCGGAGTTCAATTTTGACATGTTTTGTTTTTCAAGGCATTTAGGATCTTTGAGTTCTTAGTCTTAAAACTCATGACAAAGCTGTTGGGATAGACTTTGCCTCTGCCATCTTCTTCTACCTGGCCCATGATGATGTAGTTTAAACCTAGAAGGGAGAGAATGAAATTACAAGACAGAAATCTGGGACATCATTTGGTAAGTACAGTTCTTGACCTGTGGTTTCTGTTCATTTCAGTGTTTGTTACCAATGTCTTCCAACACCTGCAACATTTACTCCCTTACCCATCTTTGCCATACTTGTTACACCACAAACTAGTAACGTAAAAATCAAGCAGATGCAGAGCTAAGTGTCTACTACATAATTAAATATATAGGGGATATTCTTTAAACAGACTGTCAAGTCTGAGAGGCACTAGAAGTGCCCATCAACACTGGATAACCTAACCACTGTCACCCAGGGTGGAATATGTCTCAATTTTCAATATTTTCATATTTGCTCAGCTTGTAGGTTAATGCCCTTAAGCAATAATGCTCTTAAATCCTCTCATTCCTTTTCCCTCCTCAGAAATGTAAACATTCTCTAAATACATACAGAAGCATTCAGGCAAGGTGGACTTAATGAGTATTAAGACCTGGCTTTGGACAATTCAATTGGATCCGTGTATTTTTATGCCTTAGAAGGGTTGGGGATTTGCAAGGTCTTGGGCTGAGAGGAATGGTACCACAGGGATATAAACAGAAAAGTTCAGATATTATGTAATGGCTCTTAAATAATTCATTGAGATTTAGGATGAGAAACAGAAGTGGTTTGGAGCCAGAAGTCTGCCTAAAAGGAGACAGTTTGTTTCACCAAGGACATTATTATGTCTCCCAGTGTGCTGTTTTCAGATAACTAAAGGCAAAAGCTAATTTCTGATCATGATTTTTCACTTTGTTATTGCCCACTTTGAGTTAATATGCTTAAGCACTGGTAGTATCTGGAATGATATCAGGGTTTTTTTGATGCTTATTAAATTACTTTGACTGTTTCCTGCTATGACTCTGTTTATGTTCTCGTGTTCTACCTGTTTACTTATGAGCTAATAACAGATTTATTTTTTACTTCGTTACTTCAATAAAAAAAATGCTCTCACTATTTCTTTTAGCACCTTTACCACAATTAACTGGAATTTATGTTGGTTGATCTCTGTATATTACTTAAGGTAGCTTTTAGCAGTACTGGCTGTTTGCAGATACAAAGTGGGCTTAATGCTATGAGTATTTCTGTAAAGCTATAAATACATTCAGGAGATCCACAAGAGTGGAACTTGATTTTCTGCCATTTCCTGTGAGATACTGCTCTTCCAGGTTTAGCAGGCTGTTGTCTTTCCCTTATAAACAGCTGTGTATAAAAACTAGCTCCAAAATACATACAAGTAAACGCCAAATCTATCTCAGCTTCATCTGAGGGATAAAGATGAAAATCAGATTTTATCTTGCATCACGAGGCTTTTAAAGAAAAAAGTTTTGCAAACTCCTGTGATCTATGTGAGCCTAATCTTTTTCCAGAAAAACAGAAAAATGCAATAAACCTCTAGATTACTGGTCATTTTAAATTTATTTTAATACTAACTACTGATTATAGAAAAAAAAACATGGTAATTTTACTGATTTTTGTGTCCATATTTCTAATAGTAGTTTTTATAACTGTTATCTTTTATAAACACACAAAGCAGTTATTACTGTTTACTTACCTCTCCTGATGAGAGGACACTGCTTACACATAACAAGAATTTTGGCACTCATATTCTTGCCAGCTTGCTGGATTGCTAAATTCCCCTCCTTATATACATTAATGATGGATATTGTTGCATGCAGACTGCCAGCCCGTGTTACTGTTGTGATTACGGTTCCAGTTATTACTAAAAGAAAAGACATTTGATATATTTGGTACATTTTTATTATTTTTAGACAAAAATTTTGAGGCATCATAAAAACTTATTAAATATATTAGTGCCTAATACTGGGAACACTTACTAAAAATATGAGTATCACTGCTAATAACTAACTCACTTCTGTCAAATTTTGGTGGCACCAAATATGAAACTGTTCTACAATGTGTCAGTCTCATGCAAGCCCAGTTCTCTGATTTCAGCTGAACTGTACAATTTGATACTACTTTTAATGTGTCATTTTCAAATTGTGCAGAAGTTGAATTGAAACTCTTCTAGCCAAAATCAGAATTCCCAGCGCTCTGACACTCCCACATGAGTAGCAGGGAATAGTTAATGCCCTAAGAACTAGATTTTGGTCTGCCTGAGGCCTAATACAAACTTACTTATTTCAGCTGAATGTATTTACAGATCTCTAGTTACCATCATATCTCCCAAAGACCTCTCAGTATGAAAATCAAGACACTTTCTTTTCCCTAGGATGACTAAATTAACTGTTAAGCCATCTTTATTTATCCAAAGGAAATGGTAATTGATATTAACAATTTGGTTTCTTCTCAGGTCATCTTTTTACATCAGATATTCTATCCTAGGATAAACTCGATCTTCATTTATCAAGTATGTACAGCCAGATTTATTTTACAAAACTGCATAATGCACATTTTGCCATTTTGTAAATTTTCACATTATCGCCCTCTAATGCAGAGCTTTTAATTAAATAGAATGTTCCAGGTCAGTCAAGAAAGAACTGTGGATGTTAAACTGCTGGATACTGCAACTATATTTCTAGGAACAATAAAATGAAATGCATGATGAAAGAAAAATAGTTATTATTTTCTAAAATCATAAATTCTGCAAATAAACTTCAAGTAAGTAATATTCTATGAACAGACTTCTTATTCCTACCTTAGGATATGCTTGTATTCACAGTAGCATATAAAGTATTTTTACTCTCACTCCTGTCACAGAAAAGACTGAAAAATGTCAAGTATTTGACAGAAGATGGGAGAGAAGAATGTGATTTTTTACTGTGATGCTAGAGGAAAAAACAAGCTTTATGTAGTGTCATTTACCATGAGCCACAAAGCTGGGGTGTGGTCAGTAAGAGGAGACCATTTATGGTTTGGGTTTTTTTCCCTACCTGTTTCTGTTGTCTTGGACCAGCCTGAGGGTTGGAAGGGGCTGTGGTCAGGGCTGGGAGGGGCTCCCTGAGTGCACCCTGAGTGCTCCCTGCCTTGGGGCACAGCCACAGCTCCCCTGCTGCTGGGCACCACCCGGGGCTCCCTGAGTGCACCCTGAGTGCTCCCTGCCTTGGGGCACAGCCACAGCTCCCCTGCTGCTGGGCACCATCAGGCAAAGCTGCCCTCAGATCCCTCAGATCTCATGGGATTAGCAGTGCAGTAAGAGGGACTCAGCTTAAAATGAAAAAAGGGTGGTGGCAGGGAGTTTTCCCATCAAATTGCCAGGCATGTTATAGGGGATTAAAAAAAGATTGCAGTATAATACAGGGAAATACAGACACATAACAGATCAGCAGTGCCAGTGCCATGCTAATGCACAGCAGACACTGTTTTTCCTGATTGATTTATGTCTGTGTACAGACAGCAGTGCTTGGAAACTTCCATCCCTTCTAATTTCTTTTCAAAGCATTTTGGAAGCACATACACTGTGTTGTGGAACAGTCTTGGCTGGTTACAGAAAATGGAGATGACAATAGAGTAACTGAATCAATGAATCCTGGGGTTGTCTTACATTGTCATTTGCTTCTCAGATTGAGAAGTTAAGTTTGTCTCAGATATCTGTGCAGTGCCTATTTTAGAATATCTCCAAGAATGTACTGAGTGAAACACAGATACTGATGTCAGATACATAGATAGGTTAGTGTAAAAATATTAGCCTGTATATTAATGGAAACACAGAACTCCATCTGGGAAAATTTCCTTGAGTCTAAAAACACAGTAGAGAATGGATAAATAAAAAGAAACTGCTTCCTTACCAAAGTTGCTTGAACAATAATTGCTTTCCAGAGTCCCACTCCTTTTACACTTCTGCTGGCACAGGGCAACTGTAGGTTTCACAGCTTTTTGAAGGGAAAAAAGTAAATTGAAATGAAGCATTTGCTACAAATGAAAAGCACTATGTTCAAAAAAGACAAGAAGAAAGATTAATAATCCTGATGTATGCATGAACTAGACCTGGCATTTCAGGGATGAGCACCACAGTAACAATATTCCTTTTCTCTGCTGTCACCTCCTGTCATTGTCTTTTCAGGTGTCTCAGCTGTGTCTGTTCCAGCAGCCTGAGAGAATGGGATGTCACTCAAGATTTGTGTGGCATCTGAAGCCTGTCACTGCTGCTGCCATACAGCCCTAGCAGAGCACCTGGAGTACCACAACAGGAGGTTACAGTAACACTTCCCTGGGAGGGGGTGGCCTTTTATTGGAAATGACTACACTGTGATGAAAGGGATCAGAGTTCAAATTCCTGACCCTTTTTTCCCAAATTTTTCTCATAGCTTCATGTCAGGTAGTGTTGCATAGTTTTTCTCATGATATTTTGAAACAAGATGTTTGAGGTATGGAGTTAACATTAGGGATTGACATTTCCTTTCTGAAATGGAATGCTTTGTTTATAAACAACTGAATACACTTGGCATCTTTCTTACTGGTATTAGAGTCTTTAGAAAGTTAAATGCCTCCCACAAGGAAAAGTGTTTTAAAGAACAAGTTACTGTGTCTATGATACAGGTCTGGCAAGTGCTTCCTATCTCAATGTTACACACAGCACACCAAAAATTTAGAATTTAATGTTTCTTGATTCTTTAAAGTTAGCATCCATAGTAGCAGGTTAGGAAATTCAGCAGGTAGATGAGTCCCAGGTGTATGCCATCATGGTAGCTGCCAAAAATTTACAGAGGTGCTCTGCTTTTTCTAAATTTAAAACTAGGATTATGTGTTACAAAATATCTTGTTTGGTCCTTTTAGGGTGCTTTTTTCTTTCATTTTTTTTCAGTTTAATAGATTTTGGTTGGTGACCAGCTTTGCTATGACTTGTCAGCAGAGGCTGTCTATTGTTTGTAAGGCACTTCAGCAAAACATGAACTGGAGAAGAACTGAAATAAAAGTTTAGTTGCCTACAACTTTACATGTAGGCACACTGACAGGAAAATGCATTACTTTATCCAATGATATAAGGAAGTCAAATACCTCATCATAGATATTGGATTAATCTTCATTACTTTTACAAATTTATTTATAGCATTTATGTATTTCTGCAAGTACTAATATTTGTAGGTTACATAAAGACTGATGTAATTCTTGAAAGAGCTTACTAAAGTTTAATATTTTATTCATGGCTGGAGTTCTGTGCAAGTTTAAACAGATCTGATCTGCAAGATAATAAGATGAGTCTCTTTGAACTGGACACTTCTGGATGCAAATGATGGCTCAGAAATGTAACTGAACTGTAGAGGTTTGGTTTGCTGTGGTTTGTTTTGAAGATCAGAAATGCCTACAGTGTGCAAAACTGATGACACCTTGAAAGGACTTCTTATTTCTGTCTGCCTGACAAGTCTTTTGAACTCTTTGCCTCTGTTGCCCTCTCTAAGATGAAGCGGCATGTTTTTACTTTCTAACACTGATGCTGTCATGGAAATTGATTTGGAGGTAATTGGTAAATTTCACCTCTCTTGCCTGTGCAAAACCCTGAACAGGGTTACTGACAGCCTGGATTACTTGAGACCAAGTGTTTCAACCAACAAGGTCGTTAACAAGTGCTTTAGAGTGAAGAAGAGCTGAATTATTTATTGTTAGAGTCACATCAGAATGATTTACAGGTCACTATGGTTTCATTTTTTTCATGTTTATTTTCATCTATTTTGAATACCTTCATTAGCAGATTAAAGCACTACAGCTTCTTGGTTTCCTGCCAACAAGCCATTGCTGCCCTGATTTGTGATGTGTTTTAAATACAAATCAGGTTATGTCTTGCAAAAACATCATAAATAATTTGGTTTTCTGCTATAATTGTATCTGAAATGCTTCACATTCAGGTTATAGAAATTCTAAGAATTAATCTCTTCAATATCTCAGTAATGAGGTATTTTTGGCAACACCTTTAGAGAAATCCAGCTCTGATCTTTCATATATGCTGTCTTGTCTCATATACAAAAGGAGATTGACTTTTAGTGAGACATATTTCTCTCTAAGTTCCAATTACTAAATATTTTCAAATAAAAATTATTCTAGGAGAGTGTCATATTGACAGGGTTTTGACAGAACCTGAAGAGGGCTCAATTGGCTTCCATACCAATTTTGCTTGATCTTAAATTGTTGCTTGAAGAAAAACACAGTAAGATTTTTACATATCAACTTGTATAGAAGAAAGAGTTCCTTTAAATAAAACTAATTCCCAAAATATTCAGAATTTTTTATTTAACAGAAATTAGCTTCTCCATCCTTCTATGGAATGTGCTAGTTAACTGTCCAAAATTGAAAAGAGACAGGAAAATTCTCTCAGGTGGGGTAAGTTACTTTTACACTAAACTCCTGCCTGGATAGATTTCCTTTAATAATGTTAAGTGTATATTGAGTATATTCCTTGAGTATATTCCACTACTCCCTTGAGTATATTAATTTTCATTAATTCCTTCAACATTTAAAATACTAACAAACCATAAAACTTGAATTTTTAATATCATTTCTATCTTGTATTTCTGTAACTCTCTCCTTGTCCTGGAATAATTAATTTTTATAGGAAATGAAATAGAGCCAGCCAGTAAGACTTACTTGAGGTAGCAGGGACTGTTGTGGTTGTAGGCAGAGCTGTAGTTGTGGGTAACTTTTTTGGTCTAAATTTGTAATGGCCAATAAAGCCATCAGCTGTTAAGCTTAAATCAGATAAAAACTGAATGAGCAGCTCATTTTTCTCAGACAGAATAGGCCTAAAATAGAAAAACAAAATAAAATATTTCCATTCTTTCACATGTCAAAGCCAAAAAGCATTAATAACATTCTTAAAAAAAACCCCAACACTCCAGACTAATACTGAAAAATACACATTTCTTTGCTGGCATGTCACACACTGGTGTTTTGAGGATGAAACTCATTTCCATTAATCACCTAAAACTCTTGATTCCTGAAGTTTATGCCAATATGAGTATTGTTCAGTTCTTCCCAGTGACTTCATTGCAAACTTCACTTCCATGAAATGGAAGGGGTCAGATTAGGTAAGTGGGAAAATACATTGAAGAAATCCTCTGTACACAGGGGAAGTAAGTAAATGGGGTGTTTCAAAATTTGGTTTTGTTTAGTAAAAAAGATATTGCACAATTGGAAAGGCTATGAAAATTCCTTAAGTACTGGATGCTGCAACTCTTCAAGAAACCCAGCAAAAAATAAAATGTTTTGGGTTATTACTTCTGTGGGCTCACTTTTTGTCAATTATTAGATTTTGATTACCCAGGATTTCTTTGAACCCTTAATGAGGTCTTTGAAGTAAAAACTTGTCATTGTTTTCCTTTTTTTTTGGCAGATTATCAGAAATCAGTTTACTCTGATGGCCAGGTCTGACTTAACCAAAAGTAAGGGGCTGATTAACTGGAATTCTCTGGATTTACAGCTGCCATGGTGGGTGCCCAGATCACACTTTCCTTGCTGCAGTATCAACACAGCCTGTGGACATAGGAGGGCACTGATTATCAGCTGCCAAGAGCTTTGTTCTGCTTCCTGAACACCAGGACTACAAGGCCAAATTTGAAAGATCTGACCCAGTCTGTGTATCCTGTCTTTTTAAAAAGGGCCGAGAGGAAAGTGAGTGAGTCAGATAAAGTGAGGAATAAGCCAAGGGGTGAGAGAGATCAGCTGGATCCTGGTCCTTCAATATCTATAATCCAAACATACACATTATGTTCATGTTCAGCTGCCATTACTGTTGGTGCCACACCAGTATCAGGAGCACTGGGGGTGTTACACAGTGGCTGATGAGGCTTGTGGGACAGCAGAGAACACAGGCTGGGGCCAGGGTTAGTCATGGAGAGAGAGAAAATAGAGAAAACCTAGAGACAAGATACTAAGCAATTTCTACATGCTCTGTTGGAGGTACAAAACACTGCATTTAATTTAAAAATTAAAATCTTTTAGAAGCCTTGGACAGAGCTGTTGGCAAAATGACACACAGTGTCATTTTGCAGTGAAGTTCCCAACTGGAGGAGGTTACTTACGCTGGGGGACTGTCTCCACAGTACTTCCCAATTCTTTTGGCATCATTGATCTCCCCACCATTAAACACTGCAACGTAGTCATATCTGCAGTAGTTGTCTCTTTCCACATCAAACTTCTCAAATTTTAACTCTATTAGCTAAGGGAAAATGGAAATAAGTCATTTAGGTTTTGACATGCAGAATTTATTAATACTTCTTGTAGTAAGTGACATCTTCATATAAAGTACTATTTAATTTTTCTTTTAATAAAGGAAAATTCCTTAATCCACTTAATTGTGAAGTATTTTAATCTACATGACCTCTCCAACTAATAGTTCAGCATACGACTCTAATATTCTGTAAAACGTTTTCTTCTCAAATATATGCAAGTAACTTCTGATAAAGTTATTTTTATGAGTGAATGTTAGTAGGTGTTAGGTGTTACAATGCTCTTAAAATAACTACAGCAAGTGTAAGCAACAGAAAAGGAGCTTTTAATGTCACTGCATCTTTAAAGATACACTAAAGAAAAAGCAAAGGCAAAGTTGATACAAGGCATTTCACTGACTTCATTAACAGCAGGGCTTAAACCACTGTGGTTGCCAATGCTGTGTATACTTGATGCAGAATTAAAAACATTAGAAATTAAAATTTTGATAAAAAGAAAATTAGCAAATAGTGAAATGTGAAAAGAAAGAAAATTAGCAAATGTGAAATAGTATCATGCTGGTATTTCAGTATTAATGCTATTATCTCCAATTACTTTTATTTATGGAATTTTCTACTTAAAGAAAAAAAAACCAACAATGTACAAGAAAACAGAAATGGAATCTACTACTCTGAAATGAAGTTCTGCAGAATGACTCTGTCAGTCAAGTGGGCAAGGAAGGGAAACACAGCCCAACTGCTGCATGGAAACAGAGGTAATATATGCATTTAGGTTGCTTCTTTAGATGAAGCACAACAGTATTTAAATCACCTTCCCATAAATAGCACAAATAAGGCTTGAATGACAAGACTGATTTATGCTGATTGTAGATCAACCTTTATAAAGATCTGACTCAAAAAAGATGGTATTAAATCTTTTAAGATTGTATTTAAAAAAAGAAGTAATTTGTACATGGCATGTAATTTATTTGATTACTGACATAGCAAAAGTTATCTTGTTCTACATTCATAGTAATGATAGCCTGTTATCACCTGATGTCTTAGTTTTGCTTGGGTATAGTTTTGCACTATTAAGATATTTAAGGCATAATTTTGTTAATTTTGTTTCCCATGAAGTATGAGTAACCTTGGGGGACTTGATTTCAGAGATGACTAACAGGCTTGTTTCAAAACCCTCAGTATCATGATGAAAAAATGTACTTTAAATGGAATACCCATCTGAATAACATGCTTGTGATCAAAAAACATGGTAAAGAAAGAAGTAATGCAACTGGGAATAGAAATGCTAAATTTTTCCATAGCAGGCCATAGTATCTACTTCACTATTGTTCAATAAGTGCACTTTGCACTGATAAGTATTTCATGATAGAATAGAAGCTCTTCATGATCAGGAGAAGCTCCTTCATCTTCTGTAATAAATTAAGTAATTATTGGTTTGTATTTGAAGCAACAAAACAAGAGTGCCTTGTTTTATTGATCACTTGCTTATGAAAGGGAAATAGAAATAACAACACCTAAATTCTGGCAAATGGAAGACTGGGGAGCTTTTTCTGTGCACTTGAAGAGAGATGCTTATTCACTACTTCATGGAAAATGGCACTGTCAAGATTCTGCCTTTTTTCCATGCAAACAACCACTGTTGCAGTACATGAATAATATATATTTGGAAACAGGTAGATTTGTGGAATCGAATCATCAAAAGGCACAGGATATAATGCCCTTATTTTTATGCTGATATAGCCTTTCTCAAATCATCTCTGTGAGCTTAGGAAAAGTTCTTAGGTTTATCTAGAGACATTTGGAAAGCACCAAAGTAATCTGCAGTTTACAGATAAGGGTTTAAAAATCACTGCCTATCTATAGGATTGTTAAATGGCCTGTATCTAGCAAACAAGGAACGTGCATTAAAAAGGAATACAGGCAAGACTAAGCTGACATATTGCTTCAGTTCAAGGGAGGAACTGTCTTGGTAAATGCAAAAGTAGGAAAGATCAGAAGAATATATTTATCTGGGGCAGCTTTTTTTATTTCAAGGATTAGTCATGAGCGGAAGATGAAGAGGAAAGTCATCTTTATATGTAAATGAATTTTAAAAGCTGAATGTGGCAAGAAAAGCAACCTACCAAACGTGATTGTCAACCAAAACATTCAATCACTGTATACCTCCTGCTAAGATACAGAGCAGATGGCTCAGCAGCAACCAGAAAATGTGCAGCTAGGACTGAGATTTGCCCTACAGTGCAGGGAACACATTTGTGTTTGCCATGTGTGGCACAAGAGCCCTCTCAGTCTGCAGGCACATCTCCTCAGCTCCTAATGAAGTGGGAACATATGCTCTCATGGCATCTGGCTAATAAAGCAAGCATGTTATGCGATGGAGCTTTCAAAATACAAAATAGAATAAACTGCTTTTATTAAATTCAATCAGCTCCACCTGGGTACCTCAATAGTAAATGCTCAAACATTGTTAGACTTAAATGCAGCACTGGTCATCATCACGTTTGGTGCTGAGATGATCACATGCCCTGGCTTCATTTGCATGGTATTTTCTGAATTAAGAAAATAATGTTTAAACCATTCTGGGCTTAAAAGCCTCAGCAGTCACAGATGCTTTAATGGGTTTCATTTAGGGGAGTGTACCAGTGCGTGGCCCTGCTGAGGAAGCACAGGAATCACTGGGGCGAAGGGGGAGCGGAAGGCGGGACAGGCGGAGCGTGGCCGTGCCTGTGCCTGCCGTGCCATCGCAGTGTCCCGGCCAGCGTGGGTCCCTGCAGGCGCTGGAAGCTGAGCTGTGCCAGCAGGGCCTTACCTGGTTCTTCGGGGCCACGATGTGCCAGGAGCAGGTGACTCCCGCGGGGTAGTCCCGCTCTGGCCAGTTGGGCGTGTGGAAGGAGCCCGAGGGTTTCTCCAGCCGTCCCCCGCAGTACTGGTCCCCTGCAAGGCAGCACAGCGGGGCCCTGAGGGCGGCGGCCGTGCTGAGGGAGCCTCCGCCACAGCCCGCCCAGACACAGCCGAGCCCTCCGCCCCAGCTGGGGCACCTCTGGGAAAACACAGCTAATAAACGGCAGCAAAACAGAGAGAGAGAAGCATTCCTGCAAACGCTGGAGGAGGAGAAGCCGCAGGTACTGGAGGAGCCATCCCGCAGCCCATAGCAGCAATGGTGGGGCCAACATGCACTCCCAAAGGAACTGCAGCGTGGGGAGTGTTCTTGATGGAGAAAGGTCTTTTCTTCCATATCTCCGGCTCTCAGTTCCAAATTAAAAACTCCATCAGGTGTGTAATCCTTATCTACAGTATTACTATGAACCTTCTCATTAAATTAACTATATCCGGGCAAAGTTATTTAATGTATCGTTCAATACAAGGTTACAACTGGTAGGCCTGATAAATTACTCACCGCCTGCACTGCCTCTGCCCAACAACCTGTCCAGTCTGGTATCATACCAATAGCAAAAGCCTTGTAAAAGTCACTAACTAGGGCAATACCACCTTCCCGTGACCTCCCAGCCTCTCACTGTTCATACTCTTCCCAAGCACCAGGCAATGCCTTTATGTTTAGTAATACCTGATGAATTTTGCTTTGATATGTTTTTGTAAGTGGTTTTAAACCAGGACAGAAACAGACAATCCACAATATCCCCTGGTACAGTGTTCTGCTGCTTCACAGGCCACAGAGAAAAATCACCCTCTCCTTTCCTCTGCAGCCACTTGCTCATCTGGTTTTTATGTTGAAAGAGATGGACCAAGGTCCACCTTCCTCCACACCACATTTCCTCCCCACCAGGCATGACTTCAAAGCCCTCTCCTACAGTTCCTTTGACTTTCTCTTTTCCAGCATGAAGAAGTTCATGCTGTGCAGTTGATCGTTGTGTTTGTGGTGCTCTTTTAACTCTATCTTACTTGTTGTCTCTGATTCCTTACTATAATTTGATCATATTCAGTTCTGAGATGGGAACATCAGAAAGCCATATTTTATTCAAAATGTACATGCATTAGGAATTATAATGGCATGGGTTTTGTTGTTGTTGTTGTTTGGTTTTTATTTTCTTTCTAAAAATTATTACGTTTGTGCTTCGTTTTGGATACCCACTAAGCACTGAATTGAAGCTCAACTACTGTATTCGTGAATTATCTACTTTAAACCTAAGATCTCATTCCAAAACAGTAAGAGTCAATTCAGAACCTGCTGTACTGTACACAAACTTAGGGTGTTTTCCCCTTATGTGCAACATTTATCTATATTGAATTTCATTTGCCCTTTTAATGGCTAGTCATTACCAGTTTACTACTAGGTACAGTTCTCCCACTACTCTTAGACTGTCAGCCTTTCTCCTTACTATGTGATGAACTAAGATGGCTAAACAGTTACACTTTGCTATTTGCTAAGCAAGGTAATTAATAAATATGTTGAGTAGCACAATCCTTAATATCTCTGGCACCAAATCTTTAAAAGCATTAATGTGGCTCTGGATAGAGCCGGGTAATATTTGTCTTCAGCACATATATAATGGTGAATTACCTCTTTCGTGTGGTTCTGCTGCAGAAAACTTGGCAATGAATCCACTCCCAGCAGTATTGGCATCTGAAGTCATCTGCACCAACATTTTATTGCCGCTGGACACCAGGGCCCCTGGTTTGACGGTGCCACAGAACCTGCCGATGCGCTGCCCGTTGGCGTGGCCGCTGTAGATGTCCACAAAGTCATAGCGGCACAGGGTGTCGCTCTCCAGGTCCAGGTACCGGAAAGAAAGCACCACCACCTTTCCCTCTGGGACCTGCACAGACAGGGAGGGAGGGAGACATGCATCTGCAAGTGTGACCACATATCTATCAGATCCACTGTTTGCATGACTGCTTTCACACCCTTCACCTCCTGTCAGATGAGCTCTTTTTGTCAACTGTATTCCAGGCACAGCAGTTTCTAAAGCGACTGGGACCAATCCTTAATATAAGGCTCTGGCCATCTCTTGCCATTATCTTATTTCTGATCCAGAGTATCTGCTAGTCAGGCTCATGCAGTTAATTATAAACCAGTTCAGCCTGGTGTGTTTCTCTTATTTTCTGCTGAAAGTGTAGAATCAGCCATGCAGCTCCCTGTCACTAAGCAAGGTGAGGAGCATGAGATTAATATGAAAAAAACATGGAAAAAATAATTTACCATTTTAAACAAATGAAATGGCCTCTCTCTCTGATTTGTGTTACCAAGTTTCACAGTTTGAAGGAGTTTTTTAGTTTACTGACATACATCTCACATTTAAAAATAAAATTGGAAATTTTATGGCTAATACTGTACAACCCTAATATTTAGTTACTGGAGTGGCTGCAGTGAAATAATTATATTTGGAAAGACAATGTAAAACTATAAACAGAGAATTCAAAAGAACCACTAGTGGGTGTCCTCAATACAGAACAGAGTTTTGTTTTCTGAAACATCTGAGGAAACATAAGACAGGGCAAATCTTGTTACATGTCTGCATGTGGACACTGCAAAAGAGACAAGAGTACAGAGAAGGATGGAAATTAAGACACCATAATCGTTTACAAGGAGAACATTTCCTGGGATACAGTTACAAGCTTTTAAGAGAAAAATCAGCATACTGAGAAGTGAAAACTATTCTAATAAAGCACTTAATGCTGTGTAACAGAACTGAAGAAGAGAAACAGTATTTTAAAGTATAGAGGGACCCTAGACAGGCAAGTGTAATTATGTGCATTCAATCCATATCATGGTAGAGTGGTTAGCTATTAAAATAATTGCAGCTGTTCTGCTTTACTGAGACACTACTATAATTTTCTGCTTTAAACATACACTTAATATATCTGCATTAAGTTCATATTTAAGCCACGTTATTTAGGAGTTCATGAATTTTTTTCATTCCTTAACAGTGACTCATTTTAAAACACTGGTTTGAAATAAACTAAAACTAAACTGTTTCTATATGAAATTGTCAAACTGTTTTAACATTGAGTCTCAACAGTTAAAAATTGCTTGTCAAGTATAGATGGAAGTGTTATAAATGAAAGTGACTGTTTTAACCCACAGAAGATACTGATAGAGGCAGCAGCTCTAGATGTACTGGAAAATGTGCTGTAGGTGTGTTCAGGTTACTCTCTCATGTGGCTGCTTTTATGCCCAGTGCTGATACTGATCCTGCAGCAGGACAGACTTCTGCTTGAGCTGTTCTCAGCTGCCCAGGGTCCATGTGCATACTTCCTGACCAGCTCCACTGCACTTCCTGCTGCTGGCTTCAGGGAATTTTCCTTTGAAGTTTAAAGTTCTCTCAAAAATGCATTCAGGTCCCGTGTGCTGATACACATCACTGCTGCTACTACAAAACCACAACTCGTCTAATCTTGAATTTATTCCTTGAATCACTGCTCTCATATCTAAATCTCTTACCACATTCACTTGTCTTCTGGTCTGAATCCCTAAGGAGAAATAAGGCTTACCATTTTAACATAAAATGAGCTAAAATGAATTTGGTATTCCTGCCAGAAGACCTGAATATTATTTACGGTTATACTTCAAACTCTGTGTGACTGGACAAGTCAATTCAGAAATGCTGACAGTAAAATTAGTTAGATAAAGTCAAATTTAGGCAGTTAGATGACAAAAGCCTTTTTTCCAGAAATACGTATGTAAAACAGCATATGCTCTTTTGGGGTGGAACAGTCATTCTCATGTTTGTCCAACTGGTATGACAGGATGCAAATGGAGTGACCTTTAAAGGTTATCATGTTTTAAAATAAACTATCATGCCTACAGTTAAGTTTGTCCAGCATATCCCACAACAGTGTCTTACAGCTTTGGCTAAAACTTGCCCATCTTTAAGATATTTCCCCTTTTCCTTCCCCTGTTTTTGAAAGCTGAGCAGGAGTTGCTCTAGCATATTAGATTAAACAGTTTTATCAATGCTTAGGAGATTTTTCCCTATTTTCTCAGCCTGAATTCCTTCTTTGAATATACCTGCTCTCTCCCAGAGTTCAAAGAAGCAAGTGGAAATGTGAGAGGTGGCTGGTTCTGGGGTACAAAAAGGTCATTTTGCTGTCCTTGTAGAATTGCACTCAGATTTAGCCAAGTGGTCAGTGCTCAGTAATGCTGATGGTGCTCACTGACAGCTTTGTTCCAGGAGTGCACTGAGCCAGCACTGCTCTACTCACACCAGCCCCAAGGCCCTCACTCTGCCCCTGGACATGCCACTCCCTTGGGGACAGAGGGAAACAGGGCAGGGGACAGATCTCTACTTAGGAGGGAGAGGATGGCAAAGCAGCCAAGCCCAAACTGCAGTCAGCCATTCACTCAAGCCTTAGGTTTTCTGGTTCATGGTATCAGCCATTCTGTGCAGTGTTCTGCTTCCTTCTCCTCTCCCCACCACTGGCTATGCTATACTGTACTGTACTATACTTTTTAATTATATTTCATTGTAGCTTTTAATCTCTGCTTCTGTCAGTTTAGTCTATGTGAACTTGGTCAAGACTGTTCCCCATAGATGTACTGACTTCTGTTTCATAACAGTCTGTAAAAAAATGTGCAGGAAAAACTCAGCCACGTGGTCATAAACGTTTAACATGGAGCCTGCTGCAGTTTTTAGTTGTCAGAATAATCCTTGCTCATGTTTAGCTGAATTTGGAGAGGTAAGTCATTTAAAGAAACATGGCAGGCCCTTAATTACAGTCACTACTTACTGCTATTACTTTAAATCTTTAAAATATACTTGTTTATTAAAATATTTGTTATTAAATTTGTTCCAGTATGTTAAATCAGTTAAAATTTTGTGGTCTGAGTAGATGACAATGAAGTGCAGAGGATGCTGGTTCCACATTCTGGCAGCAGCTGTTCCAGTTTGCAGCTACTCCCAAGAAATCTTGTGCTAAATAGAGGCATCTTTGCATAACTGTGCTTTTCTTTGATTTCTACCATTTCTCTCCTTTAAATGTTGAGAACTGATGTGCTAAAATCTGCCAACGGTTGTCCCAGGACATTTAAAATATTGTTCCATGAGAAACACAGGGGAGCAAGCAAAGGCCAGCATGACTCAGTATTGTTTACTTTGAGCCACATCTGAGCCTGATGCAGTATGATGGGATACCTCAGAGGAAGAACTGGAAGGAATTCAGCTCTTAAAAGAAAAGGGAAAAAAAAGAGGGAGGAGTCAAAGGAAGAATGATGTGATGCTTCCTCTGCAGGGTGTGCCTTATTTTTGTTTTATCCATCCAGCTGGTATCTTTCAACAACAGAGGCACTTCATCCACTGCCTTTCCTTGTCACAAAGAGGGCACTGACCCATACTCACTCTCTGCTTCCCTTCTTATTTTAACTCTATGAATTTCTTTAGGTTCAAAATTATGATGCTGAACTAATGCCTTACTCCTATGGAAGGCTAAAGAAATTTTAGAGGGAGTTTTTATAGAGCATATTTCCCTAAAATCATCTGTGTAAATTACTAACCTCTTCAAAAGGGCATGATTATTCATATATACAACACACCTCAAAATAAGGTCATGAGATTGTTTTTGTTTATAATTCATTGCAGATATTTAATATAATGTTAATCAAAGTTCAGTTATCTTTGAAGTAGTGATGCTGTTCTTCTATTATTCTGACTGAATACAAAGCCTCTTCGTCAAAATTACATGGTTTAGACTATTCACTTTGAAGGGAAGAAACCCCTTAAATGCCAACTTTCACAAATATATTTTGTCTAACTTTTAAACCTGTATTGGGTTGAATATATTTTGATATATGTTTAATACAAAAATGCTAATTGTATGCTTTGCTATAGCAGTCCCAGGTAAAGTTGAAAAATACATCAGCTACCTGCAAGCCAAATGTATTATTTCTCTCTTCTGAGAATGAAGTAGAAGTTATTTGGAGTCACATCCTGGGAAGAACTATGATTTCTGCCTAGTTGTTTGTCTATCTCCATCTCCAGTTTTAAAAATTTGTATTAGCTTGTTCTTCCTGACAAGGCACTAGATTCTGTTCATCTTTTTCTTTTCCAGCTATACAACCAATGTGTAAAGACCTGTTTTCTACTGGAAGGGCAGTTTTTCAATGACATAGGAAAACGAATGCTTAAAACATAGAAAAATTTATGTAAAATATTCTGCTCCCTCAGGGCAGATTCCCAACTGCCCTGATAAGTAAATTTTTCAAACTTTGCTTATTGTCAGCAAACCTGCTGGAACACAGCTCCTGAACCTATAAAAACATAACCTTACATAACTCTGACAGTTTTCAGTATTATTGTTGCACATAAAGTTGTTGGAGTTTTATGGGAACTAAGCAGCCTGCCAGAAAAACACGGGACAGCAGTCCAGATTCTTGGACTATGTGACACATTTATGTGAGGTGATGGCCAAGAAGGATTACAGAGTATTGAAACCAAGTGTATATGATATATTTTAGATCAAACTATATACATTACTATAGGAAAGGAAATAGCTGTACAAATGACTTAGCAAAGCCAGTGAAAAGCTGCTGGGTAGTCTGCCAAGGCAGTAATAGAACCACAAGCATGTGCTGAACACTTCTTAGAGCTCTTAGAATAGAGAAGCTGTTTTCTTTAGCCAGCTGAAAAAGTCCCAGTCTCTTGAAATAACAGAACCATAATTGAGTTAGACTCTTCCAGCTTTAGCAAACTAGATGGAAAGATTTCAGATGATACCTGAATGCTACATTGCTTTATCTGTATTACCTGTAATGTTTTCTAAGCCTGTTTTCCTCTAAAGAACGAATTACGTCTCATTCTGCCTTTCTTCCTGCATTTCTTGTGCAGATGATGAAATTCTGTAGTTGAGAAAACAAGAGCTTCACGCTTCTCATGACCCAGACATAAAGTAAATCAATGTCTCTATCAGTCTTGCAGGCTTGTCAGATCCTGCATTAGGAGACTGTTTTCAGAAAGGTGTTCACAGCCCTTGGCTAAAACGGACAGGCAAATGTCTTAGTCACTTTCTAAGACCAGATGCTAAATGAGGAAGACTAACAGTAACTACAGAGTATTTCTTCATGGCAGTGTAACTGGCTTACTTACTTGGGTGCTATTACAAGCTATTCTGAGCCTCAGCAATATTTGGTGAAAGGATTTTGTTGTATAAATTCAGGCCAACCAGACTGTTGAGCGTACCCTTTTGCCACAGTATGGTAAACCATGGTCTTTTTAAAGAGACTACAGGCTTAGTCTTGCAGGTTTATTAGTCCTTGCCTTCCCTGCATCCTTCCTGCACACCCAAAAGACACAGAGCATTCTACAGTTGATGGGGAGACAAAATCAGCTTGGCTTAGTGAACATTATTTTTAACAAAACAGGCGTTAAATGGGCTGAGGGCACAAGCAAGCCTGGACTATCCAGTTGTGCGGCCCTTCTCTGGCTTTGGGCAAACTACAAAGGACAAGCAGGAGGCAGTCAAATGGCAGCACAGCAGAACACTGGGAGTCAGGGTGATCATGAAATGACAGAAGCCATTGAGTTCCTCCCATGGTCAAGAAAGCTCAAGTGCAGACACAGCTCTGCTACAGCTCTGTAGAAATGCTTCTCACCGTGCCCAGGCTCACCTGGATGTTGGCATCTTGGTAGCAACAGCCACATAAAGTCTGCAATTAAAGCACTCTGTATGGACTTTCTAAGTACAATAATTTGTTCTCTTCTCCCTCTACCCCCCATATATGAAGGGCAGATACATGGCATGATTCAGTAATTGCTTCTTTAGTGCTGCCTCCATTTGTTATCCAAGTTTTTAGTGGTAAAAACTTCATGCTGTTATAAGCAAAATTATTATCTCCCTCCAGATTAAATTTTGAACTTTTGAACATCTAATACTGAGTTACACTGGTAAACTAATTTTGTATGTTTTCCCTTTTATTTAAGGCATGTGTGTATGATTCCAAATGCAAATTGCATCTGCTCTTCAGACTGCAAGGTGGGCCGTGCTGACTGCTGTCACCTCAGCCCCTCAAAAGCAAGGAATCAAGTTTATGGGCATGCACCACACTTCACATCCTCTTTGGGATGAGGTCAGACATGGCTCAAAGGTAACCTCTAACTAGGCCCCAAAATAACACAACAGAAAGGTGCAGAAAGCAGCTCTGCAGCTTCACTGGCATCTTTCAGATAAAACGATTAAAATCACAGCGCTCATTTGGAACGCGAGTTGTTTTAAACTGAACATTGTAAACAGATCAATGTCTCCTGCTCTGCGTCAGCATCTCTATAGTAGCAGGAAACAATTATCCTGTGACATCCTAGTCTCCTGCCAGCACCTAGCCTGTGATGCAGTCTTTCAACTGAACTTGTCTTTAGTGATCCTGTCAACGCACAGACAAACTTATTTTTTATGCCATCCTATTTTTTCTGTAGGCCCAAATGTCAGAAGCTGTGTCTAAAAAAGAGAGGAAATTTGGTGGGCAGTTTCAGAGGGTTTAATTTGTGCAGATGTGAGGAAGAGTAATCATTCACTCACATCCCCTTCTCTGAGTCTGTAGATAAGGACATCCATACCAGGAGTATTTAGTCCTACTACCTAGTTTCATGGCATCTGTTGTCCATGAATATATCTCTTCCCTACAGTCTCATTTCAGCATCGAAATATCAATTGTACCACATGGTTCCATTTCACATAGTCATTTATAAATGTAACAGCACTTCCCTACTGCTGTCATCCTGCTGTATGACAGACTCCAGATGTCCTGGCTGGCAGAACTCTGCTAGCAGCACACTTCAAGCAAACCTGCCTGATTTTTTTTGGGTTTGATTGAAGCTTTTTTATATGTCTTCTTGCCAAGAAATTTTGCTTTTCATACTCGCCACCTCAAATCTTTTCTTTGATAGAACTCACTATTACTTTCCACAGTGACAGAAGGGGAGATGTTTGTTTTTAAGTGGGTTCATTTAAAACAATTAGAGGTGCATCAGGGAAGTCAATGAAAATTTGCTTCTGATATGAGGCAAGGCCAGTTTGGTTCAGCCACTATTATCATGTTATATCAACCCTAAAAAGCTCCAGATAGTTGAGCTAGTTTGAGTTACTGAATTCATTATTACACATATGTTACCCCATGTAAAACACAGTTTCACAACAAATTGCTGTTCATTGTCTTAATCACTGATTTTGTGGTATTAAAAATTCTTACGGTGATTTTCCAAGTACATTTGCTGTTTGGTGGGTAGACGCCAGGAAATCCTTCACTCCCAATAAACCCTGACTCTCCAGATACAACTCCTCCACATGTAAATGTAGGCCTGAGAATAACAGAAAAACAAAATTCATTTATTCTTGGTATAAGAGGCCCAAACTGTCTCAACAGCTTAAATATTTAAAGCCATTGCTAACATGGAATATGTTTAATCATTTACATAAAATGTAATGTAATTGACATAGAATGTGCAATTTAATGTGCGAACTTAGGTGTAGAAAAAATTAACTCCTTAGGCCTTAATTCTGGTCAGCACAGACTGTTATCTCTCCCTCCTTTTTCACTTCCTAAGAGCAGTGGTGCGCCAATGTGATGTATCACTGCAAATTGCTATTATAATGGAAAATAATTATTGAAAAGTCATTAGCAATAACTTTTTATAGTACATATAATAGTAGTTAAAATAGCATTGATATAAAAATTACTTCTCATTCCTTTCTACGCTTTGAATTTATATGTTTTAATCAAGGAAGTCTGTGGTACTTTTTGGTACCTCAGTAGCACAACCCACCCCGTGCTGAGCCTCGCTCGTGGTGCTGAGTCCTGCGGCCCAGCTGTGCTCAGGGCTCAGCTCAGGTGCTGGTGCCGGCTCTGGACACGCGAGAAACCCTGGAAAAGCTGCGTGGAACCTCTGCTACTGCTGAGCACACGAGGGTGAGCGAAGTCCCTGCCGAGCTTTAGCCACCGGCACGCCTCACCCTATCCTACTGTTATGTTAGAGAGGTTACCGACTAGCGGGCACGGGCTGCTCTCGCAGGGCGCCGGGCTCCGTGGGCAATGCTCCTGCCCTGATGCAGTCACGGGCACTGGAACACGGCGGGAACGCGACTGCGGGGGACGAAGGGAGGGGAGGGGACGCGGGGCCAGAGAGCGCGGTACCTGTGCGGGGGGGCGGCGGGACGCGCCGCCGCCAGCAGCAGCAGAGGCAGCAGCAGCGGCGGCAGCAGCGGCGGGACGGCGGGCGGCATCTCAGCGCGGCAGCGGCGACCGGGGCAGGGCTGGGGCCGCGGAGCCGCTACTCCGACCGCCGCCTGCTCCTCCTGTGGCTGCCAGGGCCGGGGGAGGAGGCAAAGGCTTCCGCGGCCCTCCGCCCCCAGGGCAGGGGCCCGGGCAGGGCCGCCCTCTCTCCCGCGCGGGGCGCGGGCGCTGCCCCGGGTGTGTCCGGCCCCGCCCCGGTGCGTCCCGGGCGCTGCGGGCTCGGCCCGGGCAGCCCCGGCCCCGCGCACTCTGCGCCCCCGTCCGCCGGCCCGGGCCCAGCCCGCAGCCCCCGCGACGCCCCGCTGCCGTCCTCAGGTGGCACAGTGCGGGGGTTTGTCCCGGGCATGAATGAACTCAGTGTTACCGGCGGTGCCATCGTCTGCAGCTCCGCCAAAGCTTGAGAAATAGTAATGCTGCTTTGAAATTTCTTCTTTATTTAAATTCTAAAGTAAACTCGAAATGCTTCGTTTTGTTTACCAGTGGGTAATCCTGACCCATTTAGTAGCCTTTTCACTGTGGCTGTGAAGGATACCCTTTAAAAGGCTGTGGCTGAGCCTGCAGTGATGAACTCAGTACTTGGGTGTTTTACAGAATTTGGGCCAAAGTTGTTTGACTGAGAAAAGAAATGAAAAATTAAGCCAGTATCCTTATTTTGAACACAGTATTCTTATTGAACATGACATTTGAAAAACACCACATTGTTAGTGCTATTGAACAATGATATACAGATTACCACATCGATAAGTGATAATTTATGTTCTGAGTATTGCTTTAAAAAGAACCTGTTCCTCTTACTGTTTTTAAGTACTTCTTCCCATATGTGTCTCTTGCAGGAGAAGGAGGTAAGTCTGTAGAAGCATTCAGGCACAGCCAATTGAACAGACTTGAGGAACTAAACAGAAATTCTCCTGCATATAAGGCAGAATATAAACATATTCTCTTATTTTTAGTTCATTTATTGAGCACTTAACATTCCTATTCCTGCAAAATACAAAGAAGAGTGGTCTCACTACCAAAACTTTAAAGGAGTGCTCTTGATTAGAGAGGATGTTGTGAGGATTAAACAGAAAGTGGATGCTGCAGTTCAGCAGTCATGATACCTGTACTTTGCTTTCCGCAGTGCTGGGTGAAGGAGGCAGTAGACTAAGCTGGATTCATGCTTGCTACATTTCCAGGAGGGATTTTGTGGGAGAGGAGGTGCAGCTGCTGTTGGAATGTCCCAGACCTTTGGAGGCAGCCTGTAAGAGGCTGGCGAGTAAGAGATGCCAGCAGTGTTCCTGTGTGCACAGAGGCACTGGAGGACAAGGAGCAGCAGAGGCTGGGGGCTGTGTGGATTTGGCAAGGCCCAGGATTTCAGGAGTGCAGGTTGTGTGCTGGCAGCCAGGTGTGAGGGCCTGGCCTGCAGCCCTGAGGAGAGGCTGCCACATCCCCCCAATGGGACTGGAGGAAGGAGCAGGACACATCCAGGCAAGACTTGGTGGAGGGTTGGGGCAGGGAGTCCAGCTCACAAGAAGGGGATTGTGGAAACAGAGATCATAACATTGTGAGAACAGAGACTGTGTTTGCATCTGGGTTTTGAACTAATTTTAAGTGACAGAAATGGAAAGTAAGAAAGCTAAAAAGGAAACATTTACTTACACCATGACCAATGAGATGCTGGTTGGCAGCTAGAAGTTTAACTGGTGCCACTAGGTATATTGGATGTAGTCATGAAGGTATAATAATGGTATAATATATTACATTAGATATAATATATTACAATGATAATAAAAATTGTTACACCTGGAAGTCAATGTGTATGACAGAAAGTTGTGTAATCCTCACAGCACAGACATATGAGTTCCTTGCTGCTCCTTTCGGTCAATGATTTTTAGTCTAGAGAAGACTCTATTTTATAAGAATAAGATTTCAGGCCTAATATCAACTGAAGAGCTGTGCTCCAGGCAAAACCACCAACAAAGGCTGTTAGATCTCATGGATTGCATGTTCCAGGACTCCTTTTATATGTGGTTGCTGCAGATTTTGCCTCATCTAAAGGTAGTTTTAAACTTCTGAACAGTTAACACCTTAACAGGTTCTGCATTGCCACCCAGGCATATCTACAGATCTGTGCAGCAACAGGGCAATTCAGGCCTGTTGAGCAAACTGAGGTGATGAACAGGCTGCTGGGAAAGCTCCCAGCCCATGCAGCCCACGCAGCCAAGCTCCTGCACCTTTGCCAATCAGTAAAAAACGGCAGCATCACTCCCTGGCACTGCCTGTCCAGAAACACACCCTTAAATGTGTATTCTCCAAACACCCTCAATCTGGTGTGCTCAAGTACTTCTTTAGTGCCCACTATTAAATAGATTGCAAATACCACAAGTAGTAAATGACAGACTATAAACAAGGCTCTCAAATTAAACTGCATTTACCAAATGTAAATGATGTTGCTAGAGAGATTTCACCCATGAACTAACCCAGAGATGTCTGGCTGGTTTCCATCAATGGCTGCAGAAGGAACAGAAAAGTAAAAGACCAGTAAGTAGTTACCCATAAATAAACCTGTTAGCATTGACATTCGTCTTCAGCTAAATTATGATCTGTTAGGAACACAGAAACAGGAGTGACCTTTCTTCTTCACCAAGCCCAGTCCTCTACTCTTGCAGGGAACCAAATAAAATAAACCCTTTCATATACTGATGATATTTCATTTTTGAAGTCAGGAAGTTGCTCAATCAGCACCTGTTAGAGTCCCTGTCTTTTTGGGATAAAACCATGGAATGCACAGTTAGAAATTGTTTGTAGGTAGTAGATATAAATTCAGCTAGAAAGGTTTTAAGCTCAAACCCAAAAGATGGCATATTTACAATCTCATGCAATCTTAATTATGCTGCCTTGTGTATGTAATCTTTACACAAATGATATAGGTTATGTGACAAAAATAGTATGGAGTTGCATAAGCAAAGGGTCTTTCTTAATGTGGACAAAAATGTCTAACTTTGGACAGTTGACATTGCAGCAAAAGTTTTCTATACTAGTTTCTTTTTGAAGGTAGAACAAAAACTATTTTCTGTCATGTGTCCCTGACGTGACAGATCTTCAGGCTTGGAACGATGAATCTTTAGTGACAGACATTTAATGGATGAACTACAGAGCTTGTGCCATAGTAATTATAAAAAATGCTTGGTGTCACAGGGTGTCATTGCCTCCTGCAGCAGTCTGGCAGAAAAGCCAGCCTGAGGGACCCCTCTTCCCCCACCAGCTGCTGCCAGCAATGCTGGGCTCAGCTAGTGATGCTGGGGATCCAAGGGTGAGGGCTTCTCCCTATCAGGCACTGAAGAGATATTTTGTACACAGAGCTGACAAGAGACAAATTTACTAATGAATGTCTGGCAAGTGAGACCTTGTCTGCCTGAAAATGAGACAGCTACTGAAGTGGAAAGTGGAAACCTCTTCCTGAAATGTAACCCTGTGTGACAGACTGTCCCTGAGATGTTCTTTGAAAAGACTGTGTAAATGTTGGTACAAACCTCCTGTGCCTCATGTATCCCACATATATATTCTCCCTGACATCTTCCCTGGGACAAAGTTAATCATAATGCTGCTGTGCAGCAGCCAAAGCGGGCTGATGACCTGACTGAACATGAAGCTTAGCTTATGCTCCAGCTTTCAGGCTTCTCACCAAATCTTCTTTTCTCTGTGGAGAGTCACCTGGACAAAATACCTTGGCATTTTGTACCACGGCAAAAGACCTTGCAGTGCTCTCTTGGTGTTTCTGTACAGGTCCTGTTCAGCTGACACTGTGAAATTAATTTAAATTTACATAAATACTATCAATAAACGTGGAGGGATGGAATGTAAGAGAATAGTGCAGAAGGCAGTCTCACACCTGAGGAGTTGCAGCTGTACCAATCACCAAAGACTGGGAACAAGCCTGCCCTTAACAGGTCACAGCTGTGTCCAATAACAAGACGAGTGCTACAAAAGAGTGGGTGAGCTGGGTGAGTGATGGAGTTTGTTGGCTGTGCTGTGAGGAAGAAGAAGGAGTCAGTGCTGTGAGGACCTGACCATGAGAAATCACCAAGA